GGGGGCCCGGTGACTGCCTGCTCGGCGTCCCGGCACGGCCACGGCGTTTCGGGTGAGCCCTCAGGTAAGGGGCAGCGCCAGCCAGGGCCAGTCCCCCTCCGGCCCCATGGGTCGGCGTGGGAGGGCTGGATCCAGCACAGGGCCTGCTTTGTTTTTACAAGGACACTAGGAGCTGGAGCAGGGCTGAAAAATAGCCAGAAATATGATTAGAGGATTGGAGAAAATGCCTTGGAGTACAAGCTTTAAGAGCTCAATCTGTTTAGCCTATAAAAATAGAAGACTGAGGGGTGACTTAATTACCAAGCATAATTACTTCACAGGCAGAAAATACCAGGTAGTGGAAGTCTCCCTTTAATCGAGCAGGGAAAGGGCGCCGGAGAGCCAGGGACAGGAGATTGAAGCCGCAGACAAATTATAAAGTGCCACGTCCTGGCAGCGAAGCTGCCCAGGGGTGCGGACGGGCTCCCCGGGGACAGTGCATCCCTGCAGCCACCCTCTGGGTGAGGGTCTGTGCCCCCGCAGCCCGCGTGGGTGAGGCTGTTCCCCCATTCCCTTCCTTCCCACCCAGGTAGCGACGGGCAGGAGCGGGTTTTTTGGCAGCTGGGTGCTGAGTGGTGGGCATCGCCACCGGGCACGTGCCGGCGGTGCCTCCATCCCCCTTCTCTCTCTCTCACCAGCTGGGGCAAGTGCTGGGGCGCAGCTTTGCCCGCAAGCCATGGGGCAGGAGCGGAGATTTTGATGCCTCTCCCGGGAGTCCCCAGAGCCATGACTGCAACTGTGCAGACGCTGCGGTTCAAGCTGCTGCCGCACGAACCGGGCCAGGAGTGGGGGCACAGCTGCCAGCAGGAAATTGAGCGTCGCTACCAGGTGGTGCCCTCGGTGGTGTGTGCCATGTGCTGCCTCTTCGGCATCATCTACTGCTTTTTTGGTGAGCCAGGCCAGCCCGGTGGCTGGCGGGGCAAGTGAGGAGAAGGGCAGGGGGGACGCTGCGGTTCAAGCTGCTGCCGCACGAACCGGGCCAGGAGTGGGGGCACAGCTGCCAGCAGGAAATTGAGCGTCGCTACCAGGTGGTGCCCTCGGTGGTGTGTGCCATGTGCTGCCTCTTCGGCATCATCTACTGCTTTTTTGGTGAGCCAGGCCAGCCCGGTGGCTGGCGGGGCAAGTGAGGAGAAGGGCAGGGGGGAGCTGGGGAAGTGCTGGCTGTCCACCCCCTGACTGCAGTGGCCTCTCCACAGGCTACCGCTGCTTCAAGGCCGTCATGTTCCTGACGGGGGTGATGTTCGGCTCCATCATCATCTTCATGCTGTGCTACAAGGAGCGGGTGCTGGACACGCAGCTGAGCGTGGAGGCGTCGGTTGGCATCGGGCTGGGCATCGGGGTCCTGTGCGGGCTGGTCACCATGCTGGTGCGCAGCGTCGGCCTCTTCATGGTGGGGCTGCTCCTGGGGCTGGTTCTCGCCGCGGGCG